TTCCTGTTTGGAATCTTTGAGTTTTTAAAAATAAGGGAGAATCTTCTTAATTTCTCTCAATATATAAGAACAAATATAGCCATGTGGGATCTAGTTTGATTCGTCTTGATGAGTACATTATTAATATCTAACTTTTATAATTTTTGCTAATGTGATATTAAAGATCTTTGCGGTCAAAAATGGGTAAAAATTTACATCAATTTACGTAAACAGGAACATCATTATGAAACGTAGGGAGTAGTTACTACTCACTATTCGTAGTAGAAAATTTTAAAGACTCTTAAGAAATGCACTAATTTTATAAAAATCTTAGTCCCTATAATTTATAATTGTTATAAACGGAATTGCACAAATAAAATAGTAAGAACAATGTTACCGAGAATAAGACTGAGTCGCGGACTATGTCGCTCTCTTTAGAACATTCGCGGCACTGCCTCAAACTTGTGCAAGCAGCTCGTACCAAACCAGATGCCCCCAGGATAAAACAGTCTTTCACAAGTATAAAATACCGGCAGTTTTGCACCGAACCACCGGACAACGGAACACCAGAAAATCAGAAAGAAACTGCTCGACTGTTTTGAGAGGAAGAGAAAATATATTTTGCAAAGTGGTTTTCTGTATTTTTTTCCGTGTATTTAAAAACAAAGCTGGAACCGTCCTTTTATAGGTAAAGATACGTAACAGCTTAAGCATGAAAACGGGAGAAAGATTAGCAACGTTTACTGCAATTAGTGTATTCGTTAAGCAAGAATCAAGGCATTAAATCAGTGTAACGGTGCAACGTTTAGCAGTAAAACAACAACGAGAATCAAGCAATGTAACGGAAAAATTTAAACCAAAACAGTAAAACGTTTTGTAACTGAATATTAATCAAACCGGTAACAAAAATTAAGTTTGTTTAATAACCCAAACCCGACCCAGTTCGGCGCGCGTGTGTGTGATATATGGTTTACCATATAGGTCCTCCCTCTCCACAAAATGTGGGTAGCCCAAGGGCCACACCCCTTTAGCCCACTCTCTATATTATAAAGAGAGTAAAACTCTCATTTCCCACCAATGTGGGACTTTGAGTTTTTTCACAAATTTCACACACTACACACTTGTTGTTCCAACAATAATTATACTCCGTATTGAAACAACATAATTAGAGGCACGTTAATTTTAGTTCTTGTGTTGAAAATTACCTTGGGGCTCTTCCTGGCTTGTGCTAAAAATTAAAAGCATTATGCAATGTACACCAAAAAAAAAAAAAAAAAAAAAAAAAATAAATTGAATTTTCATTTATTAGTTTACTATTGCAGTTCCAGGATGATTATTGCTTTAGTTGCTCTTTTTTTTCCAATTTTTTCTTGTTGCTAAGTTAGCGAGAAATGGGAGATTCAAATGATAGCAATAGGGGGATGATCAAATTGGAGCTACATTATCTAAAGAATATTATGTAGATGACATTTTAATCGATTACCTGAACAAAGTTTTATGCTGTTTGAGTTGTTGATGAGTCCCATGTAGAAAAGGTTGAAATAATGATATTGTTAACGAAGTAGTATTGCTGCTTGAATGTTAGTAACTTAGTACTTCTGCTATAATTTTATTGTCTAGTTGCTGCTATATTCTATTATTCTGTTTACCTGCTGCTGAAATTATTGTTGCCTGTTATATAATCCTGCTGCTGCCTGTTGTATTGCTACTGCTTTTATTTTGCAATTGCCCTGCAGCTGCAGTTCTGTTCGTCCCATAATAATAGACCTGCAGACGTTTCTAGCCCATAGTTCCTTCATGAAAGTTGTATATCTTGAAAAGTTATTCAATCTAGGCTCAAGAATTTCTTGATTTGGAATTGTGTGCTAGGATTTATGCCTTCTTGAAATTCTTGTGGTCTGCTGTCTTGGTTCTATCTCAGCGGGGCTTCTGTTGATCACTTGATCCCTGTGTGCAGTGGCGGATCCAGGATTTTCAATTCGGGGGGACAAAATGCTTAACTTACAAAAAGCTTAACAAAAAATAAAAACAAAAAAAAACTCAAACACACAAATTGGTTAATACTTAGTATTAAAATTTCAAATGGTACATTACAAGTACTTGAACCACCCATTTCCATATCATCTTCTTGACTTTGAGGGGAGCTTAATGAAGGGGAGTTATTGGACTCATTTTCATGGAGTTTCTTTCTTTTAAACATGAATTGTCGAAGATCGGGTTGTTTTCTAGTAGCCTTGGATTTGTTTGAATTAGGTGAATCATTTGACATTTCCTAATTAAATTGAAAAATATATATCAATTTCCACAATTCACATCATTGCATACTAATAAAACGGTAAAACCTAAGATTAAAATTGCAATTAAAATTAAAATTCAACAAAGATTGCAATTAAAATTAACAATAATTAAAGAAAAATCTGGAAATTAGGGTTAACAATTGTCAATTGGAGATTTCAAATTGGGAATTTCGAATTAGGGTTAGCAAATAGCAAGACATACCATTGATGTTGATGAAGCGAAGACGGCCGAGGCTCGACGGTCAGACGGTGGTTGCCTGGTTGCACGCAGGCGGTGCCGGTGCACGCAGCTAGTGAAGAGGTTGCCGAACTGCCGATTTGCCGAAGACCGAAGTGGTGCTGTGGTGACTTGGTGAACTGGTGAGTGGTGAGGAACTGAGAGCAGCGATGCAGCAGGGCGGTGGTTGCCTGGTTGGTGGAGCAGTGACGCACGCCTCGACGGTCGATCTTAGTGGATGCAATGGCGAATTGGAGGAGTGAAGACTGAGTGTTGTTGGCTGTTCTTCATTCTGTAGCAGTGTGGCGTTTTGCTTTTTTTTTTTGTTTTTTTTCACTTTTTTTTTTTTTTAATTTTTTTTTTAAAAAATGGGGGGACAGCTGTCCCCCCATGTCACTTAATTGGGTCCGCCACTGCCTGTGTGGTGTTGTTAATATAAAATATTGATCTTCCTATGTCTTGTTTGAGTTATATGGGCTGATTTAGTCATGTTAGTGTTGTAGTAGCTTTCATAACTTGAAGTTTAGTTAAGAGTGGTAAATCGATGACAAATCTTAACTTTATTCTTAAGTTGAAGGTGGCAGGTCAACTCCTAGTTCTAAACAAAGTTGTTGATATTATTCTCCCTGTCCAAACAAGTTGATGATGTTGATATCCCTTTGCCTTTCCTTATTTCCTTTTAAATTTTTTCAGTTTTGATTATAATTGGAGGTGCAACTCAAGTTCCAAAAGTTGATGTTATAACTTTAACTAGAGTGAAAGCCTAGTCCTTTGATTACCTTGGCTCTTTTTCTTTGATTATGTGATTGAGTAAAATAGTGTGTACGTGGGAGTTGATTGGTTGATGTTCATTTTGGTTCATTTTTTTTGTCGTGGTTTAATAAAAAGTTGTTGAGAGACTTTTTGGCTGGTAATTAATTGAATAATGTTATACCGTCTAATTCTATTCAATTTAGTTTCCATTGGTTGAAGTTTGCTTATGGGAAAAAACTTATTTATATAGCTTAGGGTTGAGATAATTAAGACTTGTTCCATTAGACACTTGCCTTTTGTGTTGGTACATGACATGCTTGTTATATGGTTCTCATTTTTTATTATTATCATTATTTTCTTGTACCACTTTTGGAACAGCTAGATTCAAGAACCTATTAGAAACTTTTTGGCGAGCTGAAACTAATAGCCTGAAGTCTATCTTATTAAGGCTCCTCGAGTAGGGGCGGATCCAATGTGGTTTTCAGGGGGTTCATTGAACCCACTGATTTTTTGAAAAAAATTGATAAGTTTTTTTGTATAAAAAAACAAAGGAAAAATTAACATGAGTGGACAAACCTTTGCCCGATTCTCCAAGAATGGACTGACCTTTAAATCTTCCCATTTTGGACAGAAGTTTGCATTTTTTCTCCCAAAATAGACTGAGTTTACTTGAAACCGGTTATTCAAGTCAACATTAATAAAAAAAAAAAAAAAATTAAAAAAAAAACTCAATCCCCCAATCCCACTCAGCCCCTCCTTCCCTGACCCCACTGCCAGCCACCCCTCCTCCCTCTGTCTGACGGCTGCCAGCGCCCAACCCACCACTACAGGCCATTCCTCCACTCCCACTTCCACTCCGGCCACCGCAGCACAGACCACCTCCCCCACGGATGCTTTTCTTTCTCTCTCCTTTTCCCCCCAGCCACCCACCCACCCACACCTTCTTCCCGACAGCCCAGCCCCACCCAACCAGACCAACCCCTCCACCCCGAAATCCCACCCTGAAACCTCACCCACCCCAAAACCCATGGCCCTATCTTTGAATCGAACGCCACCAGCACCGCAGCCCCACCCCACTGGACCGACCCCCACCTCCATTGCTAAACTTGCGTAATCTCCATCAGCAGCGAGCCCCATCCCCCTCACAACAGCCCAACGTTCACCATCTCTTGCCAACAATAATTTACAGCCGCATAATCTCACAAGCAGCAACCATGAATTCTCACCGTCTGCGGCCAACCGTTGCTACTATCACCGCTACCTCTAAACCTTTAGAAGCAGCACCAATTTGTCACGCGAAACGCACCCATTCAATTCACCACCAATTCACTACAACCAACCTCGACGCCGATTTCAAGGGAGGGAAAGGGGAGGCCAGGGTGGCCGAATTTAATGGAGGAAGGGAAAAAATGAGAAAGAGAAAGAGATCGGCTGCCGGCGACCCCACCCTCGAACCCTTGGTCGGAATTAATGGAGGGAGGAAGGAAAGGGAAAGGGAAAGGGATCAGGAGGAAAGGGGAAAAAAAAAAGAAGAACTTGACCAATGATAAAATGACAAGTGGCTTTTTTACCTGATATAACAGATTGGGTGACCTATTTGGTCCATTTTGGGAGAAAAAATGCAAACTTCTGTCCAAAATGGGAAGATTTAAAGGTCAGTCCATTCTTGGAGAATCGGACAAAGGTTTGTCCACTCATGTTAATTTTTCCAAAAACAAAAATTGGAAAACGTTTAAAAGGAATATCTGTGTAAGAAAATGTTAAAAGTAAAGGTGCAGCCCAGCGGTATTTTTACCTCACATTGCATATGAAATTATGGGTTCAAATCCCATAACTCACAGTCACACTTTAATTTTTTTTCTTTCTGGTTTCTACATTACTGTTTATCACGAACAGTTTTCCACTTTTCCCCCAAATTCTAAAACCCTAACTCCCTTAAACTCCTAATCCCCTAAATCTCGCCAATCGCCAGCCGCCGCCGCCCGTCGGCCACCTTTAGTCCGTGACTCCGTGATGCATTCCGCCTTTAGTCGTCCTTCACCGGCCATCTTCGTTCAATCAATCAGTCCGTGACACTTCAGTCCTTCACCATACCGCAATCGCATACGGCACTTCGATCAATCGGCTCACGGCAGCACGACCTCTACCAGTCGACCTGGTGTCTGGTGAGCTAGCCTTTCCAGTTTCTTTAATGCCTATTGTTGCCTTGCTGGCTTGTTGTGAATCTGTGATTGTGAATGTTCAATGCGAGTATGCGACAATGCTGTCTTTCTGTCTTTCATAATTTCATTGCTGTCGATTGTCGAAAACTCGAAATTGTCTAATTGTGATTTGTGAATGTTGTTGAAATGTCTAATTGTAATTTGTGAATGTTGTGATTGTTGTCGAAATTCAGAAATTGTCTAATTGACTAATTGTGAATGACTGAATGTTGTCTTTTAGTTTTTGTCTAATTGCATTTGTTGTCTTGTTGAATTGCTGCCAAGTGCCTAACTGCCTTGCTGCCTGAGACCCTGAGTGCCTGACTAAGTGACTAGTGCCTTGCTGCCTTTTTGCCTTATTGTCGTATTGAGTTATTGGTGAATGATAATTGCTAATTTGATGGGAATTTGAGATATAATGATATATAATGTAAAATTGTAGATTGTGCCATTGTGGTATAGTGATATATAATGAATTTGAGATATAGTGATATATAATGAATTTGAGATATACTCGAAGTATGCTTCTGTAGTTTTATTTTTTCATTGTTCTATGTGTAATCTATTTGTAATCCATAATTTGAACTTATGTACTGAATATTTAATTATTATATTTTCATCCCTTTGTTAATTACGATTCCGAACTTCCGAAGTTTCGAACCCACACTTCGGAAATCCCGGAGACGCCACTGTCCTTGAGACTAGCTTTGGTATGTAGTTGAACAACATAAATAAGTTGAGTATTTGGCCGCATAAATACACAACTGTATAACAATCGGGCTTCTAAGTCTTCTTGGTATACTCTTTCATCCATTGGTTATGTTCTATCTACTTAGAAACAGAGTTTCTTAAATTGATATTCCCCTACCTTATGTGCACAAGTTCTTTGTTGATGCAGCTGCTGGTTGCTGTTGGTGCCCGTCATTACTAGTGTTGCTGCTCGTTGTTTCTGTTGCTGCTATATATACTTGCTTCTATGCTCAGTTGCTTGTTATCTTGTTGCTATTCTAATGTGTATTAACCTTTTTTTTTTGTACACATGCTACTAATTATATTACTGTTGTGATGTAAACATTACACTCATTTAATAAATTAAATTTTAATATTTTATTTTCATATACTAGTGTATGTATATCATTAAATTTTTTAAAAAGCATCTTATTACTTGCAATAATTATATTGAAAAAAAAAGTAGTCAATTCGTTTTAGTTTGTTTGATTTGTAGTGAATAAGTAATAATTCTAAGGTGTTACCCTTAAGTTATTTGGCAACACTTTTGCATTATTATTAGCAAATAAAACAAGTGAAAAGGTTGTTACGTATTATGACCTTGGCTTTAAAAACTGTTGCCTTTGAACTAAAATGTGTTGCCTTATGAATAGACAACAGGGGCATAAATTACGCCTCATATGTGTTTCCTTAGCCACATGGCAACACTTTTTTAATAATAGGCAATGATTTTTCACTACTACCTTTGCTTTATTTTATTGTAGTATGGTGGATGCTAAAAAGACGCCTGCCCAAGTCTGCGGCCCAGATCTGGAAGGATCAGCTTGAGAAGAAGAGGGCCCAACTGGCGGCTAAGAATGCCAGGGTAAGTTTCGCCTGCATCCCTTGTGTGAACTTTTATAGTCATAGACGGTTGTTACCCGGCTATAACCCATTTGTTCCAATTTCAGGAGGGGAGCATACACGTTCCACGATTCATCTCCAAAATGCTCAAGCGAAATGCTGATGAGCTTGGCAAAACCCCTTCCAAAGTGAGGAAGGTAAATCCAACTCAGACGGCTTCATCCCTGCCGCCTGTACAAAACAGACCAACAACCGGAAGCAAAAGTCCGGAAGGTCTGAAAGTGCTCAGTCATCTGGCAGGCAACAAGACGGACGTCCCTAGGACGTCGAAGAGTGGCAAGCCACTCGGTGCTGCAGCCGGTTCTATAACAACTATGGGTGAAATCGAACTCCCATGACCGCTTGAGCATATGCAAGTCAAATCTCAAGCTACCCAATCGGGAGATTCGTCAGGCAGGCAGCCGGCACAATATAGGTGCCACTTATGCTGCTTTCTCACCACATCCTTCTTCTGGTGCAGATCTCTCTCAAAGGTGGCTTGACCTCTAGCAGTACTCCAAACGAATGTTGAGGACCCTCACCCGATCCGAGAAAGACCAAGTTCTCGAGCTGCAACAGGTTAACTTTGACCGCATCCTCGCCTTGCTGGCTGAGGTACTTTAGCTTTCTTTCAAATGCCTGATTTTAATAGTATATTATCTACCCTTCTTTTAACCGGTTGTGTTCTGCAGGCGATGCTGAGGGTGGATGGGCTCAAAGTCCTGTTTAGAAAGAAGCAGGTAAGAGATGCCAGGCGAGCCATACCGTAAACTCAGCTCAATATTAGAACACTTTAAATGATATAAAGTCTAAAGCTTGAGATATGGAACAGGAGGAACTGATTAAGGAGCTCACGGCTGCTGTTAAAACGACTAATAACAAGGTGTCTGATCTTGAACTTGAGCTCAAGAATGCCAAGTCAAACCTCAAGGCATTGGAGGAGGCATTAGAGGGGGATGAACAAGAGAATACCAAGCTTAGGGAAGACATCAGCCGGCTCCAAGTTGAGATGGTGCAGATGCAAAGTGACTACAAGGCTGAGCTTGCAAAGGAGCAAGATCGGCTGGTCCCGGAGAATGAGAGAGATTGCGAGGAGCGCATGAAAATGGCATGGCAGCTCATTCATCCGAACACCGACTGGGAGTTCTTCAACTTGAGATATCAGTATGCCACTGAGGTGTACGATGCCCAGACCCTAGGTCTGGCGGCGCCGACTCCGTTCAAGGAGTGGGCTGGCATCGTCTCTGATGAAGAGGAAGAGGATCTGCAGGATGAACAGGCCTCGGTTGCCTCTAACCATGTTTAACAAGGTGAAACTGAAGGCGAGCTCCCCTCCGGCCAAGACCGGCCGGTGCCCCCGCAGCAGCAGAGTCAGAAGGATTAGATTTTTCTCTCGGCCAAGAGCCGTTTGTATTTCCGGCATGTGAGCCGAGTATTTGTATGTAATTTCAACAACCTTTATTTCTCGGATGTGGATCCAGTTTAACAATCACTCTCCCGGCCTTTTGGTCGTACTTTATTTTATGAAATTGCCGACTGAGTCGGTTTTGTTGATTTTGCTTCAATCTTTGCAATTTTTGATTTGCTTTGATTTGTTATATATATATGCTTGAATTTTGCCTAACTTGTTAACTGCATGCGACAACTAACAAACTGGCTGACTCTTTTGCCTCCGGGCGGTTGTGTGATTGGTTTCAAAAACTTGATTGATTGACTTGGGGTCTTTTGATACTTTTAATGATGAGTTCCTAAGTTAATCAATCACAACCGTGATTGCCCCCAAACCAAGTACACAACTGTCCAAGATTCAGGCGGTTTGTGCCTGGAACCCAGACGGTCTTTGGAGATTGCTTAGTCTATTGGACTAAGATCGTTTTAACCGTCTAGGGTATTAGTAACCCATTCATATACTCAGGTGCCCTTCTGCCCCATTGGGAGGACTTTTTAAAGTATAAGTTTCTTAATACAATCTAAGTTGGAATAATGGTAGGTTACCGGCTGATGTCTGCGGACATGCGGTTTTAGTACACCGTATAGGTTTGCTTTAGATTTCTTATGTGAAACGGCTATGAGTGCGCCTCATTGGGCTAATCAATCTTTGCCGTTTGCGATAAGTTTATAGAGCAATGTACCACCTAGATGGGAGATGCTCTCTGCGACGAATTCACCCGGATGGGCGTCGCCGGATGTCTACTCATGTTGGAGCAGACGATTGGTTTTAATAAGGCCATCTGCACATTGCACAGACAGTATTCCTATTGGGAGATATATATAATTAAAGCAATAATAAACAGAGTTGAAAATAAAAAGCAACTTTTTCATTGATAGACTTTTTATTTACAAGTCTTAGAAGTAGTACTTTTTTTAAGTTATCTACATTCCAAGTTCTGGCTAACTCCCTGCCGTGTGGAGTTTCCATGCAGTAGGTGCCGCCTCTCACTTCTTCATAGATCCGTTAGGGGCCTTCCCAATTGGGAGTCAACTTTCCTTGCTCATTGGATCTATTGGTTGCCTCCATTTTCCGTAACGTAAAGTTCCCTACTTTCAAGGGCTGCTTGTGTATTTTTTTGTTGTAGGCTCTTGTCATTCTCATATGATAAATCTCATGATGCAAGGCGGCATTGCCCCTACGCTCTGGGAGTGAGTCCAATGCTAGCCGCATGGCCTCCCACTTTGCCTCTTTGTCATATAGCATGACTCGAAGAGTCGGCTCATAGCGTTCAATGGGCAAGACGGCTTCTGCGCCGTATGCCATGAGAAACGGGGTTTCACTGGTTGCCCCTTTTTCAGTTGTTCTGATGGCCCATAGGACATGAGTTAACACTTTTACCCATACGCCTGCTCTTTCAATTTTTTTCTTTATACCGTCTGAGATAAGCTTGTTTAAGGCTTTAACTTGGCCGTTTGCTTGGGGTCGGCCAACAGATGCAAAACAATGTGAGATCCCTTGATCTCCCAAGCAATTTTTGAGGGTAGGCGTATCAAACTGAAGGGCCATTGTCAAAGACCATAGTCATAGGTACCCGGAACCGGGTGATGATGCTTTTCTAGACGAAAGAGATGACATCCTTTTTCTTAATGTTCTTGACCGCCTCTGCCTCTACCCATTTGGTGAAGTAATTGACGGCAACTAAGATATACCTTCGTCCGCCTGGCACAGGAGTGTATGGGCCCTGGATATCCATGCCCTACTTGGTGAATGAAACCGGACGGTGGATTAACTTGACAAACCGCTGACATTTGGATATCCGTCAGATCAGTAGCCGGACGGTGGATTAACTTGACAAACCGCTGACATTTGTCACATTTTTTCACCATTTTCATGGCGTCTGCCTCAAGCATGGGCCAAAAGTAGCCTTGCCGCCTGGCTCTAATTGCTAGAGACCTGCTGCCTACATGGGAGGCGCAATAGCCCGAATGTAAGTCCTGCAGGATCTCTTGCCCTTTCTCAGGGGTGATACACTTCAATAGAGGCATCAAGAAGCCTTTTTTGAAGAGTACTCCGTCTTTGATCTCAAAGTTGGCCGCCCGTTTTTTCATTGAGACCATATCTAAATATGTATCCGGCAGAGTGCCGTCTAGCAGATAGACCCGGATGTCGTCCATCTAGGTTGAGTTCGGTCCAGCACTCCAATGGGATCTTCTTCAATACTTCGCTTTTCCATTACTTTCCAGAAGACTGACCGAGGCCGCATCATATGAGGCGGATGAAGTCAATTTGGACAGAGCATCCGTCCGGTTGTTCTTAGATCTGGGCACCTGACTTAAGTGATATTCATCAAGTGTCCCAGCTTCAACTTTGACCGCCTACAAATATTTTATCATGGCCGGATGGGTGGCCTCATAGTCACCATAGTACTGGGTAACGACCAATTGTAAATCAGAGCAGACGTCAATTTTTCTTGCCTATGCCGCCTTGCACATGCGGATACCGGCTAGTAGGGCTTCATATTCCGCCTCGTTATTTGAGGCTTGAAACTTGAACCGTAGTGCTTATTCATACTTGTCCCCTTCAGGGGAATGACATATAACCCCTACACCACAGCCGTTCATAGTAGAGCTCCCGTCTACATACACTTTCCAAACCTGGTCAAGATTCTCCGGCTCAGCTGACTTTGTCATTTCGACAATGAAGTCGGCAAACGCCTGACCCTTCACTGCCTTTATTGGTTTGAAAGAGAGTTCAAGACTTTGCATTTCAATAGCCCATTTTAGCATCCTACCGGATGACTCCAAGGTTATCATTGGCCGCTTGAGGGGTTGGTCTGTGTAGAACACAACCTGATGTGTTAAGAAGTAAGGCTTCAACTTCTTGACTTCCATGAAAAGAGCCAGGCTAAAATTTTCAACCAATGGGTACCGTAGTTCAGCATTTCGAAGAACATGGCTAATGAAATAGACCGGAAGTTGGATGCCGTCTCTTTCAGTAAGGAGAACGGCACTGAGAGCATGGTCTGAGGTGGCTAAGTACATGTAAAGCGTCTCCTTTGGTAGAGGGCTAATAAGCCTCGGCAAAGAGCGTAAATGTTTTTTCAATTTATGAAAAGCCGGCTCAGTATCATCCCCCTATTCAAACCTAGTCTTCTTTCTGATATCTTAGAAAAAATAGAGGCACTTGTCACCCGACTGGCTGAGGAATCTCCGCAATGCCGCCAGACAACCTGTTAACTTCTGAGCTTCTTTGACAGTGCGGGGTGACTTCATGTTAATGACCGCCTGTATCTTCTTTAGGTTGACCTCTATTCCCCTTTGATCAATAAAAAAATCCGAGAAACTTCCCAGACTCAACACCAAAGACACACTTCTTGGGATTAAGCATGATATTGTGCCGCCTGAGTGTGGCGAAGGTTTCTTGGAGATCAGCAAGATGATCCGTCTATAGCTTGGATTTGACTATCATGTCATCAATGTAAGCCTCTACCTTCCTCCCAATTTGATTGCTATTGCTGGGACGGAGTTCATCTGACCGTTCCCCGGTCAGTGATTACTATTGCTTCTCTTCTTGCCAGCTGCTATTGGAGCGGGCTCGGCTTCCTTGACATCGTCAAAGTCTATTGGCTCCTCACCCCGACCGGCTGCGGCCACTGTGGGCTTGACGTCTAAGAAGTAGCACTCTCTAGCCGTCTTCTGGTCCCCGTTCAGGGAGCAAACAGACCCATCATCCTTCTCAAATTTCAGCAGCATGAGGGATGGAATAATGACGGCCTTGGATTCGTTCAGAGTCGGACGACCCAATATCAGATTATAAGCGGTCAGCTCCTCCACGACCAAAAACCGGACAACCATGTGGCATCCCTCTCCTTTCTCCCCCAGTCGGAAGGGTAGGTCAATCCGTCCGACTTGGTGCACAACCCCACCCCCCAAAACCAACCAAGGGGTGAAACACCTTGTGCATGCTGCCGGGCTTGTACTTCAGCTTTGACAAGCACTCGTAGCTGATGATGTCAGACGAGCTTTCGGTGTCAATGAGGATACAACCAACTTTCTGGTTGGCCACTTTGCACTCAATGACAATGGGGTCATCATGAGGTCAGTGGACCTTGCCCCTGTCCTTTTCAATGATGATGACCTCAGGGAAGGTGTCAGTAGACGTCTGGCCCTCATCAACTAAACTGACATCCAGCCGTCTGACAGGTCCTTGGTGCCTCTGTTGGTTGGGCCCCTCCAGCAAAGCCGCCTGCTATTGTGTAGATCGGCTCTTTGTTAGTGTCCGAACTACTAGTAGGTTGGCATCCTTTTTGGACAACTGTCCGGGGTTTGTCTTCAGGGTCACCTTAGACTTCAGGATGTAAGACTTTAACAGCCCCTTATTAGCCAGGCGGTCCAACAACCGCTTGAGACTATAACAATCGTTAGTGTCGTGGCCAATATCCTCATAGAAGTGGCAGTACTTGTTTTTGTTCCGATTTTGGGCGGAACCTTTCATAACAGTGGGCTTCTCTATGGTCACCCGATCCTTTATCTCCATGAGGATGGAGTAGCAGTCTTTGTTAAACTCGTACTTGTAGGGTTTTGTAGTGACCCTCACTACGCGGAAAGAAACCCCCCAAGACCCGCCCCCATAATAAATGCAATTAACAAGCAAAACATAATTTAAAGCACAAGAAAGGATAAAAGAATATACCTTTGACGCGTGCTTCGCTCAAGTATGAGCTCTTACTTGAACCCCGATAATGCGAGGCCTCCGACGGGATCGTACCCTCGAACCCGACCCGATCGTCCTAAGCCTCGAAGGTTAGTCGAGTCCCGGAAAAATATATAAACTTGGATTTTTACGAATTCAAGGTTTACTCAATTATAGAGTTGCCTTTTCAATTCCACTCAAGTGTGTCCATTCCCAATACCCAAGCATGGTATTTATAAGGAAATGGACCCTTGATTTCCAATCTCCCACCAATGTAGGAGAGTTGGTAAATTTTAACAATTTATTTAATTCTAAATCAAATAAATTATTAAATCAATCACAACGCAACAAGTGGCGCAATTAGCTAGAGAGAGATAATGAGGCTTAAGGCATGGGGAGGGGGGGACAATTGCCTTGCTCCCCAAGGCTTTGGTTGGTCCC